TTGCAATAAATTAGGATGGTTTTGGTTTAACAATTTAATTTCGGATCCAACAGGTGGTTATCTTAAAACACACGATTTCCTGCAACCACAAGAGCGCATAAGGAAGGGCAGTACCAAGGAAGAGACGGATGTGGAGACGCCACCGCCACCAGCACCGCCTCCTTCCGTCGAGCATGTTCTTCCCGGAGGAATCGGGACTTACAGTATAAGTCACGTTTCGTATTTAGATCAGAGGGTTCTGCCAAAGCCGGAAGGGTCAGTTTTCACTGGTGCTCGATCGAGTAGCAGCGCCGAGAGAAATGACGAAAACTCCAACGGAAGTTCTTTCGCGGGGGCCGGAAGTGGATTCACTCTTTGGGAAGAATGTGCATCAAAAAAGGGAAAGACAGGGAAGGAGAATATTGTGGGAGATAGACCCCATGGTATGAACTAACAAAACCTTCTCATTTGCATTATTGCATGCAAACACTAATATCATTCTATTATTATTTCAAGTTTTAGAATAATAAATAGTTGAAAATCGAATGGTACATAATCAGATCTGTTTTAATTTTTTTTTTTAATGATGTTAAAATTGGCTTAAAAGGAATAAATAAATAAATAAAATATCATTTTGGAATGTGAAATATGAGACTGCTTTGTATTTCCATTACTGATAATAATTACTATTTTTTTTATATTTTGTATTTCCAATACAATTTAACCTTAAAAATATTATAAAAATATTTTAATTTCTCTTGACGTTAGAGCTTATAGGTGTATATATTGGAATTTAAAAAATTATCAAAAAAAAAAAAAAAAAAAAACAATAGGGAAATTTATTTATTTATTTTAATCTTTGGGGCTGAAAAAATGAAGGAAAATAGAGAAATAAAGAATCGGGCTTAGAGTATCGGCTGGGCTATAAGGTATTTAGCCCATACAGCAAATCAGTAGTTTCTATTCTCTTCGCTATTTTTATTATTTTCTGTCAATTGTGGGTTGCGGACAGAACCTCGGGCGAGCGCGAGCCAATGGACGGCGTCCGTGGAGCGGCCGTCGCAATCCTCTTCCAACAACCATCACAACGCTTTCAGTTGTCTCTCATCCTCTCAGTCAGTTTTTATCTCTCTCTCTCTCTTTCTTCGTTTCAGTTCCATTCTGAAATTCGAACTGGAACTGATTCCAAGGAAATCTTAAATAGGCCGACAGGAACGAAGAACCCAACCTTCATGGAGATGCTCAAGTCGGCCAAGAGTACCTCTCAGGACGAGGAACTTGACGACGATGGTGACTTTGTCATCAAGAAAGAGACCTCTACCGCCAATAAAGGTATTATGCTAATACCAGACAACAATTCTTCCAAATTTCTACTTTTTACTGTATTCAATGCATCTCCTCGTTACAAAACGTTTCGAAATGTTTCTGCAGGAGGATTGAGGATTAAAGTTGATGGGAACAGCTCTGATCAGAAGGCGAACACTCCTAGATCAAAGCACTCTGCTACTGAACAGCGAAGAAGAAGCAAGATAAACGACAGGCAAGCGTTTCTTCTATTATTCAACTTACAGTTTGTTCGTTTATCAGTCGGTCAGTAAATTATTGCTGTTAAACGGAATGTCTTCGATGATTACCTTTTTTCTGATCTGCTTTGCTTATATACTCGATAATATGACGGCAGGTTGCAAAACCTGTAGTGTAAATTGCTGTAACGTTCATATTAGGATTGTAATTCTTGGAACGTTACAGCAATTTACTAGTATTTTAAAACATGATTTCAATTTATGACTACAACTTGAGCTTCATTACTTCTGGCCAAATCATAGTTTGATAGAATTTACACAATTCACACCCCTTTGTCGACTATATAAGGGGCATAGTAGTTGATTTCGTGTGTCAGCTTAGCTGTTTTTTTTAAGCTCTGGCGGGATACCTTTATGGATTAATCTCTATTGGAACGAGAAATGAACAATGTTATGCAGTGTTTTTTTCTGCACCCCTCTTGAAGTGTTCTTCGCAGTAGTTTCTGTAATAATTATACCTAAGCAGATGCTAGTAGGCACAAGTATAAAAGTCTTTATGTAGCTCCTCTAGCTTTTTAAAGTTTATTTGTCTAATGAACTTCTCTCTCTCCTATATTAAAGAGAGGTAGCATTGCTCTTGTAGGTTGGTACCAACTACTTCTTGTATAACATCTTTACTGCCTATTATACAGATTTCAAATGCTTAGAGGCCTCATTCCTCATAGTGACCAAAAGAGGGACAAGGCATCTTTCTTATTAGAGGTACGCTTCTTGTTAATTCCCTTTACTTTTTCCACGTTTCATTTTATTGACTTTGCAAATTTTTTTTTCAGGTAGTCGACTACATTCAATTCTTACAAGAAAAGGTCCAAAAGTACGAAGGTTCATACCAAGAATGGAATCGTGAAATGGCAAAACTGGTGCCCTTGGTAATTGCATGCTTCTAGCTTTTTTTTTTTTTTTTTTTTTTTTTTTTTTTTTTTTTTTTTTTTTTTTT